CCCCCCCCCCCCCCCCCCCCCCCCCCCCACCCCACCCTCGACGTCCTTCGTCTGCCGCTGCACCCAAGGCCACCTTCCCAGCCTTTTCGTGGGAAGAGGGTTAAGATTATATCCAGGTTTAAGCGATACAAGTTATAACTAAGAACGGTATGATACATTTCTCCAACATGGTTCACATGTACTTCCTGTCAAATTAAAAGTAAAAATAATTCAAATAGCACACTTTCCAAATAAGGATGTACTAGCCTTGGATTTGAACACATTCATACAACAGAAAAACACATCTATGAAACCAAACCAAAACACTGATAAGGACAAATATGTCCATTTATGTTACTGTGCATTTATCTAACAGACGTTTGCTGTCACCTCCAGGGAGCTGAGGGTCACAGTCTTGATCTGTATCATGCAATGATCAGCAGTGCACGTGGAGTGTGCTTAGAAGAAGTTCTAGGACTGCACCACCAGGAAACAGTGCTTTCCTGTTTGTTTTCCCCGATCCTTGGATGATGGAATCGGCTCAGCAGACAATTGAAAATATGGTCTGCACCTTCAGTTATTCATTAGACAGTAGTGATGATGCACAATGGATAAAAACATTGCTTATTGATCAATGTGACGTATAACAATCTTAACTGAATACTGGAAAGGTTTCAGAAGCAGACGTTTGCTTGGTTAGACAAAAGCAGAACAATTTTTCCCGAGATAGCTAAAACTAAACTTTTTAGGAACGATCATTTACAGGGACAACCCTGTTTGGCTTGCTTCCTTGTGCAGCAGGGACATCTACTGGGGTACTTTTGTAAAACAGCCTGAAAGATCAGCAGGAAAAAGTTTCCAGTGAGTCGAGCATGATTTTCAGAGGATCATCTTAAACATCCCACTGGAATATATATATAAAAAATATTCTCTGCACTCTGTTTTAGGGTGGATTGAACAATGATATATTATTATCTGCATCGTTGTTATTATATTGAGCGAGGAAACAATTCTGAACTTCATTCAAGCGCCTTACAGACCAATTATATGTGGCAAAATAAAGCAGAAACTGAAAATACAAAGAAATGATGACAGCAAAAACATTTTATTTTCACTTTCAATTTTCATCAAATTATAGTAATCAAAATCCAAAAAGTCCTTTACAAATACAGGATAGCTGTGTTCATACAAATCAACACTGTTACATAAATACAAAAACACATGTTCTTAATACAGACACACACAAAAACAAACAAAAACACAAAGGTTTGAAATACAAAGGACTACAAAGGTAAAATTACATATATATATATATAATGTGTTATGTGGGATTTTCAGTATATGTGTATATATCTTTGTGTGCTATTGTCCATGTCTCATCTGGGGCCGAGATTTAAGGGGGACTTGGAAGATGAGAGGTTCTTCTTGCCATTGTGGGGTTTCACTTTCAGGTTTAGTTTTGGTGCCGTTTTCAAGTAAAAATGAAGCTGTGTGGGAAGAGATTGAGAACAAGTTGTGAGGGATCAATACAGAATCTAGAATACAAGAACATACACATGATTATGAATCAGAAGCTAAGTCTGGGTCTCTAAAAGAATATTTAGACTTCTTACTACCTGCTTTTTCTACAAAAAAAAATCCTTTTTATGCACACACATGTCAGTACATATAGAAACACACCTGTATGGCCTCCGCTGGTCCCACTGTGACAGTGCTGGTGGACGAGACGTAACCTGGGGCTGATGCTGTCACAGTGTAGGTGCCTGGCAACAGAAGTCTGAAATAGTCGCCATCCACTCCTGGAGGAGCACACATGGGAAAAGATGTGAAAACATGCAACTAGTCAATTTCAAATCTTAAATTACACAGCGCTAGAAGAAGTATTCAGTTCCTTTACTTAAGTAAAAGTAGCAATGTACGACCCAAAAATGGTCTGGTATTGGCATCAGCAGATTGTGAGACAATATGCGAGACAATAGACATGCTAAAGGCCCCACCACTCCTTCTACATAGGAGCGAGACACAGACATCAAGTTTTGTTGTCGTTTTGTGTCTCTTTGTAGTCATTTTGTTTTTCACTGTGGTTGATTTGCATCTCTTTTGAGTCTCTTTTTATTCATTTTTAATCTCTTTGTAGTCATTTTGTGTCTCTTTGTTGTCATGATTAGTCTCTTTGTAGTTCTTTTGGTCTCTTTGTATTTTCCTTTTGTCTCTTCCTGGTTGATTTGTGTCTCTTTCAGTGACATTTTGCAATTGAAGGCCCCCGACATCCAATCAAATCAAATCAAATTTGCCATTGGGGCACCATCTGTGCCATTTGAAATGTTTTCAGGTAACTGTAAAACTCGTTTAATGTAATTTACATGTTGGGTATTAGGTATCAATTCCATCTAAAAATAATTTATGCCATTATTTTGGAAAATAAAATGAAGTATTTTAAACAAGTTCCCGTTCGTGTGCAGTACCACCATTCATCCGCTAGATGGAGACACAAGACGTGTTTTCACATGGACAGTTGTCCCTTCGATGCCTGACTCAGGAAAGCAGAGTGCAAATCCTCTTTCATGCCATTTAAATAGCAATTAGCAGCAGTTGATATGCCCGTGAACACAACTTTTGATCACAAAACAGCAAAGGTAAGACATCATTTATGGTTATGGCTGAATAAAGTGAAGTTGATTTGTTCTCTCCTTCAGCTGCAGGTTCAGTGAGTTTTGGTAGTAGGGTGATAATGGAGTCTCAGCTTTCATGATGACATGTCGTCTGTGTGGGTACCATGAAGTAGCAAAGCTGATAGCACCACTAGTGGCCATGAACCGTTAGCTTGTGATTGTTGTGTGCTCATTAAGTTAAAAACCAATTAACTGTTAATTGGTGTTTCAATTGTATTTCGCTCAGGTAGGAATGTTTATCATTAGCTTTTAGCCGAGCTGCTTTCCTTTATGTTGGTATGCAGGGTGAATATATTGCTTCATGTTTAGTAAAAAAGTAAAAGTACCCACTGTTCAGGAAACATGGCCTCTGCAGCTATGATACTGATACAGATGCTTTAACATGTAAACATCATTTTAAAGTTGTAGTCGAACAAGGTGTGCCTGATTTGTGTGGTTTAATTCACTGTCTAATAACGCATCTGAATGTTCTCATTTAAGAATCTTGTAGCTTTTAGAAACTATACCTGTCAAATAAAAAATACAATAAAAAGTATAAAATTTCCCTCTAATGCAGTGGACTATAAAGTACCTCAGAGTTGACTCACAGTACTCGGGTAAATGTAAATTGAGTGCATACAGTTAGCACTATTCTTTTTAATGCATTTTCACCATTGACCACAGCTTGTTCTATTCCAATGTGAGCATGGACTGCACTATTATAATGCAGCATTAGCAGATCATCTACCACACACACTCACATACTTCTTCAACCCTGCAATTAAGGAGTAAAACACTCCACATCTGTTTATCGGACACCCCTCCAGCCCCTTCTCACCGCTGGTCACATCGTGGTTGACGCCAGCCACCGAGACCTCAGCGTTGCCTATTGGGTTGTTGTTTTCATCATACACCATGCCTTTTATCCCATGATGCACCTGGAAAACACAAGTCATTTTTTCATTTCATTTGGCCAATTTCTAACGGTACAATCTTTTATGAATCATGTCATGTGTGAAATATGTGTTAATATAGGCAAGTCGGGTATGTGTGACCATAGATAGCTTTGTGTTTGCATACTGCAATGACTTACAGCATAGATTATAAGTCCTACCAGGTTGTAAACTACATTTCCAGTGAAACTTTTCCAAAACAGTGGAACTATCCCTGCAGTCTGCATAAAGCATAGAGTCAAACAAGACCAAACAACCCCTTCCATTTCGGTCTGTGTCAGTGCTGCAGAATAAAAGGTTATGCATTTCTGAACCGTCCCTTGAGGCTTAAGAAGCACTAACAGTGGCAATATATTACTGTATTTTATCTCAGCACTCTGACAATCTTGGATGACGGGTATTTGTCTTTAGACTAGGGCCTCTTTTCATACTTGACTGAGGGCTAAAGTCAGTTTTCATGTATTAAGCTGAATTTCAAGCAGCTCATTTAAAGTCACTTTATCCAGGGAGTCCGAGCCAATATTTACAAGAAGCCAGAGTTTTGGACTCGTGAATCTTGGCAGTTGGGTTTTTGTGTGTAACTGGATGTCTGCGTATTTGTGTTGTAAGTTGTAAATGACCAGGAATTTGCAAAATAGTGAGTGTGTGTGTGTGTGTGTGTGTGTGTGTTTGTGTTCTGACCTGTTCAAGGTATGAAACCAGTGCTTCTCGGTTGCCCAGCCATTCTCTGGGCAGTGCTGATGCGGGAGGAAACTTGTCACAGCTCAGCTCCAGGGTGATCTCAAAACAGTTGGTGTACAAGTAGTTGAAGTCCTGCATGCCTGAAACACACATGAGAAGACTCTACTTTATATTTTAAGGGAGGAATCTTTCTTTATTTCAATGGGTGGTTTATAGACAGTTTACATGGAGCCTCAGTTTGCCTCTTTAAAGAGTCATACAGATTTGTAACTGATCATTACAGTCCATCTACAGTCCATCTATGGTCAAACAGATTCTTCCAAACCACTGCACTTCGCTGTTTTGACCGATCTTACACATATTTCAGATGGACCGTTTCTACACCCAACAACAGAATTGCTTTTTTTAAAACCTACGTTTTTGACGTCTATGCATATGAGGCTATGATTTGGAGGGAACGTTCAAATCTTACTTTATAGACCATGACATAACGCTTGGCGGAGAAGGAGCCGGTTAAATAAACATAACATGCTCCTGCTGAATGCAACCATGGGCGTTTTGATCAAATTCAAAAGCTTGCACGACTGCACCGAAAAGCTCAACAGATTCACATTCCAAGGAATAATCCAGACGAGTCTAGACCGGGATTTACACATCAAAGACATGGGTATTGGTATTGTTGCAGTTACAGCTTAACTGAATTTATATTAAATATATGCCCTGACAGTCTGATGAACTTGGTGTGCTGTAGCTTCCAAGCATTCTGTGGCAAAACAATTCTCATAAGGCAAACGGGGGAGGATGATGTCTGCCAGTGCCTGAGCTCGTATAACTTCTAATGGCCTGTAGGCGGCCAATGCCAGTAAATAATATTATATTAAATCAAACCCCAATAACGTATTTACTGGGCATTCTGGCTGCTTTCATAGTCCACTAAAATATCAGAATAAACCTAAAAGAGTCACAGTTTTTTTCCTCGGAGCAAATGGTAGGCAGTAAATCTGACATGGTTAACTGCTGACGGGGCACCCGGGTGACACTACTCTAAAAATAGGGGTCAATACACTGAAAGTGTATATTTAAATTTGCTCCAAGATAGTACTATTGGCTTAGTTGGTGTTAAAATTGGGTTGTTAAAAAACAGATATGTGTAAAAGGCATGTGCACGTGTTTCTGTGCATCCATGTGAAAGTAATCTTGAGTTATGTGGCAACATTCGGATGACTGAAGAAGAAAAGAAGAAACCATTTTTATTGTCATATACATATACACATACACGAAATTTGACCTCTGCATTTGACCCATCCCTGTATATAGGGAGCAGTGGGCTGCCAATGATAGGCGCAGATACCCTGCGGTTACCAGACAACCCTCTTAACCCAGTGAGCCACGGTCGCCCCCATTGCCCGACTGATGGGTGTACCAGTGATTTCTGCTGCACTGATGGATCATCAGCTTAATTGTCAAACAACATGGAAGAGGCAGAGGCGTGTTCAAAAAGGACGCATGATGTTTTCAGCATTAGATAAATATACATTTGTTACTACAGTTGTAGATTCAATGTAAAGATTTCATCCCATTTAGGGACTGTATGAAAATGATTGGGGTTTGGAGGGCACTTCAAAATATAAAAAAGCAAGGCCCTCCTCAGCTTTATTAAAATTTCCAATGGACCCTCCCCTTTCTTACACAAAAATCTGCAACACCCCCAATATCTCAATCTACTTGGTGCGTAAAAAGGTTCCTCTGTCAGTGCTAAATAGGGGCATAAATAGTGTAAACTTGTGTATTATCTGGAAACTTTTAAACAACCAAATTTCACATTAGAAACAACAAGTTGTCTCAAACATCCCAGCCACTATGTTTGAACCACGAGCCACTAACTTCATAGTTATTACCGCTGTCAGTGCAGTCAAAGGAAAGGTTGAAACAAAATATAAAATCTGACATTAATATTTAGAGGCTGTGCGCTTCCAAAAGACCTTCCGTTCAGGAGACTACCCTAATTCATACAGTCCCTAAGGTTGTTGCTGCCATGTGTCATTTACTAACTTGACCAGCTAAACTGAGGGGTCAGTGGAAGTGCAGCTGTTGGTGTGGAGAAGGTGAAGAGGTTAAAGGCAAGAGGAGACCAAGAGTCCATGATGACACCGGGAAAGCTTGCCTCTCGAGCCACTCAAGGCATGTCATCCATGCTGAAGTCTATACCAGCGCCCGCCGTCGTTCATGCAGGTGGCCTTGTCTCTCTTTGAATAGGGAATGATAATGGACTCTCTCCAACATTTTACATTTTAAATCAGTTTTTAGGACGTGGAGGTAGTGAGTCAGTATTGTGCTTATCTATCTATAAAGATAATAGTAACGTGCTTTTTCTTTTCAAAATGTGTGTTGCTTTCCCTTCAGGCTGCTCAGGAGCCAGAGGTGTTGCTCACCTTTGGACAGAGAGTACCAGCTGGCCCCGTTGGTGATGCCCTCATCGAAGAAGTCCCCACAGTTCCAACCCTTGTGCATCCAGCTGTGAGCGTACGAGTAGGTCCTCGCCAACTGTCATCACACACACATCGCACATGTGCCCAATCATGCACATGTTATCACACACAGACAGCGATGACATTTGATGTACATCTGGTGAGAATTTTTTAATCTGCAGCCCACCTTTCTGAAGATCTTGTCGTCCGGAGTGGCCGCGTACGTGGTCCTCCCCCGAATGCGAGCGTCTCTCGACTTGTCGAACGGGTAATTGGCGACCACGGCTCCTCCGTGGAGGTTGGCTGACAGGATAAAATTGTAGTTCTGCATCCATTTTATGACCGCCATAGTCTCTGGTTCAACCTGTGGAGTAGATATCACTTTTATGGCTGATGTACTTACAGAATAATGGACATGACATATGGGCCTTTTCATACAATGATATAAACACACAGAGAGACATATTGAATGTACGACTCATTGCATTGTAGTTCAGTAATGTCCTCAAGTGTTTAACTCTTGTTCTTTTTATAAAATATCGTCAAAGTTTAGTCTACACATTTTTTCCGAATCCTTAGATTCAACAATCCAAGGCCCTCTTTAGTGCCTGTTATATCTACTGTATACTGTCATCTTCATCCCAGACTTTTCATAAACAACACGAGTGGAACTGAAGACATCTGGTTTTCTTTTCACCCAGAACCCCTGGCTTCTCTGCTTTCTGGTTATCTGGACAAATCCTAGTCTTCTCTGCTTTACCATATGCAAATATTTTCTCTGTGATCCCTTTTCATTTTCAAGCACTAGGCTTATCTTTACTTTTCCTCAAGCCCCCCCCCCCCTCCCTTCACTGATTCTTCAGCTTTACTTGCAGTGTGCTTTCTCCCTGATCCTCCAACGCTTCAGTGTATCTCATTTGATCCAGACTGGAAATGAATCGGGCATGGTTAGCATTTGTTAAAAGGCCTTTCTTTTTTTATTTCAGAACTGGTATTCAGGGAGAATGCTGAGTTTACAAGATGATGCATTAGAGCTGCAAGGATGGAAACACGACAGTTATTTCAAATTTACAACATGCAAACTATTGTAAAATCGTCTCCCATGCATCTCGAACCTTTAAATTCCACTTTAGGCTGCCATTTATTTTCCCTGTCAGTGCTAACTATCCTCACACGCTCCGAGCCGTATATCCTCATGCACGGAGAGACGGAGTAATGCCTCTCCTTGAATAAGGTATGTGGGACAATAAACACAGCCGGGTTCAGCTGAAGAATAATCAGAGACGACTGGCCTTGAAGTGCAGACTCCTGTTTTAAAGACTGGCAGGTGTTTATTGTCTATGGATCTTTATATACACTCCTGCGTGCTTGAAGTCAGAGCTGTCACCATGGTGTTGGGTTACATATGAAGGACAAACACACACACACACACACACACACACTGAAAATCTTAAAGAGTTAAAAAAAAACTCAAAAAACTGAACAGATAGAGGGATTTCCATGCAATTTCAAACAAATACAGTGAGACAGACTAGGTTAGATTTCACACTGTAGGAGCAATGTTCTCCACACGCCAATCAATTGTCTGCAGGTTTTTTTTAACACAGGAATTAAAATATCCCATGTGTAGGTCAACTGGGAGTTTCTGAGTTATCATAGCTAAACTGAGATCAGTCTGCTTGCCTATAAAGCAAAAATGCTTAAATTTGCGTTAGTTTGTGAAGCAGTCTCCCTTGCTGATGAAAAAATTATTTCTTGTTCTATTAAACTCATTCCTCTGGATGAAACATCACCAGTTGGCTAATTAAAATGTAGCATGGCTGTGCCTGCAGGCGAGCACAGGGGGCTTGTTGCTTCATGCAGCCTGTGAGGATGTAATCCCGACCAGCATGAATGAGGTATCTGTAACAGTGGCACAGTTACTCTTTTGTGTTTGCCTTTCAGGAGGCAGTCATGTGGGTAGACAGCCAGCTCGCGACTGGGAGGACCAGCGTTTTAGTTTTCTCAACACATTTGTAGCCCAGGAACTAGTAAATAGGAAAAAAGTTAAAAAAAAGAAAAAATCAGTAGCTGTCTAAATAGCTGTTTATATGTAATATTTTTTTAAACAAATAATAATACCACCAAAATAATAGTGCCACACTCATACATGCTTAATCTAGCGTTGACTTTTGGTACCTCGGGGAAATGTTTTATTATATTTTTACAGGTAGATGTATTTCACAGTTATATAATCCAGCAGTCACAACACCTGGTGGTTTCAAGCGGAAGAGACAAAAGGCCGATCCACATAAGAGGAAAAACGTCACGGAAGTTAACCTTGAAGACAGTAGACCTTGTGGAGTCTGTTGAAGATAAGACGACGGCAGACGAAGCACCCCCAAGGATATGACCTTAATCCTTAAAACGTACTTTTCAGCAGACTATTAGCCTTAGTTTGACAGCACACACGCTCACTCCTCCCTTCTGTCTACATTTCACACTGCAGTGATCTGAAATAATAAGCGCAATACTGAAATACATAAGAGTCAGCCAGAACAGAACGTTGTCTCTTCTGCAGCCAAGCACAAATGCAATACATCTGTACGTTGTTTGAATAAATGACTGCTTCTTATATATATATTGTTTATGAGTAATGGACAAGACATGTAGTTGCAAAGTACCTGACTGTTTCAAGGAGCACAGAGCTTGATTAGTGGCTTTCAGTGGTCTCATAGCAAGAAAAAATACAGACGTGGCAATGAACGAATGCTTCTGAGTGGAATCACAGGTTTGTAAGCTATGTGGAGAGTCACGCAGTATCTCAAGGTTGCAGGTAACCGTTACACACTGTGAGACCGCAGAGTCGGGCAGTTCAAATTCTCGTGGCGGTGACGAAATGACAAAAATGTTTAGCTCAAGCTGAAGGTATTCTTCATATATATATCTTGTATAGTCCCTATGATTCCAAGAGTGAAAGAGCTTTAGAGGACTTCTGTATGCCAACTTTATTCAGTCATCTTCCGCTGATGTCCTTTGTAAAGTTTTAAAGCTTATTCTGAGCTTTGAATTCATCTCCTATGCTCCAAAAATCCATGTTTCCATCAAACAGAGAAGAATAAATAAAATACTCAAACTCACATTATTTGTAAAAGTTGCGAGTTTGGATCTAAAGGATATTTTTTCAGTCATACTTTTGTTCCACTTTGTATTCTCAGTTGGAACTAGTTAGGCTGCCATTTTGCCCAACTGTTTCATTTAGCAAAGACGAAGGAGAGCGGCCTCTTTCTGACCAAGCACCGTCTATGTGAGGAGCCTTACGTAGGTCTTACAGTAAGACGCACCCAACCCAACAGGTCAGGTAGTATACAGGTGCACACAAACACACACATGAAACACATAGCTTACCAAGCGATTTACTGGGTCTACTCACTGTTTGAATTTATGACCAGTTTCTTTTTATTTAGTGAAAGCTCAAGTCTGATGCAGTACAAATCTCATGAAATAGTTTATGTCAAAGCCAAAATAACTCAGCTATGTTACAGTTGCTCATTATTCAACTCCATATTCAAACGCTGACACAAGCATGAGAAATGTACTCCTCCATCCTGCTCTTTCCCTCTCTCCCACACATGTATTTGCACACATATGCACGGACACGTAGACGTAGATAAATATCTCCCCAGTATTTACCCAGTAGCACTGACCTGTTGCTCCCAGTTGTCCGGCAGGGGCAGGTGGTGGTTTCGCCCGTTTGTCTTCTCGTAGTAGTACACGAGTGCGTTCAGGTCTGGAAAGTTCCGGTTCAGATCCATTTCTTTGGCGTTCCCTCGACCCACCAGGTAGCCGTTGTACTCTGGACCCTGTTCGCCCAAAGACAAAATATAAAGTTTCTCAAACAACAGCTACTGTTGGGTTACCTTGTTTTTTTTCCAGCAGAGTGATTGAATTATGATTTTTGTTTTTTGGCTTCTTGGGTCTTTCAAGCTATGAATTCATATTGCTTGGAAGCAGCAAAGGAAAACTGGTTTGCGTATTCCACAAACTGCGCACGCAGTCTGTGGTGTAACAACAGTAAATTATTTTCAGGGTTTTTTTTATGTATAAAACATTTACTTCACAATGATTTCCTTGTTTTCCAAACTCAAATCCTTCCAATAAAACTTAAAAGGATGTTGATACTACACAAACAAGAGAAAATCCAAAGACGGTAGTGCCGAGTATTATAAAAAAAAAGGCAGACACAGAATCTAAGGATGTCGGGACTCATGAGATTTTGTGCTTTTGAGTGAAATGTCTCTGTTGAAATTTGATACAAACATTCATGTTACTCGTAGGATGAATCCGTCATGACTTTGATGATATTTTTCCTCTAGTGCCATCATCAGGACAAAATTGTACTAATGACATTCCATCAGCCTCAGCTGTACGTTTTGTATAGTACTAATTATCACGCTAACATGCCAAAAGACGACGGTGAACCCATAGATTTGAACCGTGGTGGACATATACCTAACATATACATGACGCCTGTACCTGAATTTCAAGTTGTTGACAATGTCATCGTGAGCATGTAAGCATGCTGAGTCTGACGTGAGCACTTAGTGGACGGCCTCACAGAGCTTCTTTACTGACTATGAAGCAACGACACTGTAGCCTTTTTTCTTTTCTTTTTGACATCTGAAGCAGTTCCAAAAAACCAATTTGTTCGAAAATAGGGAGGCTCTTGTTGGATTTGCGCAGTATTTCCATGCAGACTTTCTGACCTGCTGTAAGACAACTGAAAGAACAGACTGAACACTGTATGGAACTACTTAAATCTTACCATTTGTGATGGCATGGCCACAAAAAAAGAAAGAATGTTGTTGCTCAATCTGTACCTAAAATCAACACTATGACCTTCCCATTATTGTCCAGATGCTGCTGCTGCATACAAACATCTGTTGATGCAACAAATTATAGCGCTTTGTTCGTGTGTCGTCTGAGTGGCAAAGAGAGGGACAGTCATGTGCAACTGGTCTCCCCAGGACATATAGTTAGTCTCAAAGAGATTGTGCACATGTTTGTGTTAAAGGAAGGGGGGGGGGGGGGGGGGGGGCTTGCTGTTGTTTCACGGCCCACATAATTACCTCCCGGTAGAAAGCTAGGGGCTTTCTCAGGGAGCTGGTAGATGGGATTATTACAGACATTAGCAAACAGTGGAAGATTTCATTAAATAACTGTTTTTGGCTCTTGGTTGCATGTCTTCAGTGGATATAAACAGACACTTGCATACCTTTTTAGATATATGTTATCTGATGGAGACAGATAAGATGTGTGTGATTTAACTTGCAGGTGTTAAGTTTTCCTGAGGGAACATTAGTACTGGCAAGAACACGATCAAGGAAAAAAATGTGGAAACTTGTGCAAATGATTGCTGAAGAAATGGTGACCAAAGATAAACATTTCCAGGAAGCCTGGAGCTCACATGTATGTCAGTGTGTGCATCACCTGTTTGGCAGCCGTCTCGTAGCCATCCGGGTTCATGGAGGGCAGGATGTGGATGCGTGTGTCGTGGATCAGCCTCATGATCCGCTGGTTTCCGGCCCGATACTCCTCGCACATAAACTGGGATAACTTAATGAGCAGTTCACGGCCGAGCACTTCGTTGCCGTGCATGTTGCCCACGTACTTGAACTCTGGCTCCACTGGGGAGGAAGTGGAGAGGTAGGGGGGGGGGCATGAGGTCAAAAAGCCACACAGAGCTGCAGAGCATGACATTTATAATGACTGCCTGATCGTGCACGCATACGTACACACACGAGCAATACAGTAGGCTCAATAAGTAGTCTTTTTCATGTTTTTAGTTCAACCTGTGAGTTTTTTATGAGTCTTCATGGTAGTAACTTGAGTTTCTATTTGTTACATGATTTAAATTTCCCACTTTATTATTCAATGCATTTGTTAAAATCAAACACCATCATTACCCACAATGCAACTTGACCACCAACAGTTCTCACGTAGATTCTTATGTGTTATGCCAATAGCAGCTAATGAAGCCTCAAGCAGATATGAGTAGCTACTCAGGTCTAGTTTCTTTTTAAAACCTCCAGATTATTTTATTTTTTTTCATTTTTATACTTTTTTCATTTATCAGACTTCTCTGGAGCCACAAAAGGCTTCATATACCTTTTCACATACAAAGAAGTACTCTCCAAGACCTGTAAACAGACTTTCAACTCTTCATCTGAAAGAGGAAGATTGTGCTATGTTTTATCCTTAATGCATTTACATTATTGGAATTTCTTGATACGATAGTTCTCAAGGTTCTGACAAAGGTGAGCTCTGGGGAGGGAGTCTGATTACAACTGATTGAATTATTTGGATAAGATCATCTGGCATTCCTGTGGGTATCTGCTACTGATTGGGTGAGCCGCCTATTCAAACAGTCTCCCTCTCTGTACAGCCCTCCTCCCAGGGGTCCCTACATTAATCACTGCTGCAGCGTTGATAGAACGAAGGACCCCCAAACCCTGCAGCTCCACAGAGCCACTGCTGAACACTTTTGCTTAAAGCTAAAAAATAATGTTTCTTGTACCCTATCTATATGATTTTACACTAAAAGCATGGCGCATATAACACTGTATTATTGTTTTTGTTTGCACTTAAGTTGCCCATGAGAAAAAAAGTAAGTTTTTGGGCGGTGGGGTATTGTGGGGAAGAGTGGATACTTCCAAATGTATGAACACCCTTCACTAATTGCTTCAGGCACCCAAATGGCAGCTTGGGCGCTGCAATTCACCTCCTTTTCTTTAACGCGGGGCCAACTGGCCTCAGGTTCAGAAAACAGTGTTGGCTCTAGCATGCAGCTTCAAAACACACACACACACACACACACAGCAGCATGCGAAAGACGTGAACTTCCTAAAGGGTGCAAGGGGGTTGACCCAGACCAGACTTCAGGTCACTCCCCTCCATGAAGTGCACAGTTCCTGTTTTTCACCCTTGGTCATCTTGCAACAGAACAGGCATACATCCTTCTATTCTACTAGAGGAAGCACTTACGTGAGCAAATGTAGGAAAAAAATGCAAGCTCAAACCCAGCCAAGAAAGCATTCCCTGCAGTTGTTAAGTTGTTGTTTTTTCAAAGAACTGCCATTTAAAATGCCCCTTTAGCCTGTTTTCAATACAAACATTTGCAATGACGAGGTTATGGTTTTCAATTTGCAACCACTATGCAAAATAAACACCTGGAGGGCTGATTCAGTGGTTAGGATGGGGGGGGGTGACACGCAAAACTTCTGCAAGAGCGGTTTCAGGGTCAAAGCCTTGTTGACTCAAAGTGAACTTTCTGTGTCATCTGCTCAGCTTTGAATCGGACGGCAAAAATTGAAATGAATCACAGATGTTGACTCTTTTTTTTTTTTGCCGTTTCATTTTCGCTTTAAGTTTTCCAAAGATTACCACCACAGATGTTTCTCAAAGAAGGCAGCTTGGGATAGCTCCTCGTCTTCTTCACATTAATTCAGACTCAAAATCAGAAACTTTGTATTTCATCTCTTGGAGAAAAAAAACAGAGTGCCCACAGCCTGCTCTGTCTCGTGCCAGCTATGTTCTCACTCCCCACAGCAAGAAGTGCAAAACAAATGGGCAGCCAAATTGTAACTCATGTAAACTGGTTTTCACATTTTGATTTAAATCTAATACTATATTAACTTGGAATTTGCTGTACGTCTGTTGTTAGGAGTGTTTCCCAACTGTACAGTTGTTTTAGTTTGAACATGCAGATTGAGATAAAGAAATCCTTCATCAATACACATTTTGATCTTATCCTCATCCTCGCAGGGCTGTCAGCAGGAGTTACTCACATGCTTCATGGATGCCCGGGTTATCACTGAACTCCAGCACGTAAAGGTGGCGCCCTTCTACGCTGCGCCCGATGCTGTAAATGCGGGTGATGTAGGGGCATTCGCTCTGCACTGCAAACAGGGCTCGCACCATGTCCTCGTAGCAGTGATGCTGGAAGTCTGAGCCGCACACCAGGAGCCCCATCAGCCCCAGCAGGAGAGCAGCGACCCAGGGAAGAGTCCGCCCCCGCTGCATGGTCCCTCAGCCCAAGTTGTGCAGCACAGGAGTTAGAGGAGAGGTGTCCGGAGGAGAGACTTCCTGCAACTATGCAAAACACTTTCAGATGTATATTTATCTCCTCACACACCAAACATACTGCTTTCTGCTTTCTTGTCCTCTTCTTTCTCCTGCTCTCCCTCTCCTTGTGCCTCCTCCCACATACAGTCCTCACACTGAAGAGCAAGTAAGGACAGCCCCCTGCTCCTTCTTTGTCTCACTCTCCTCCTCCAACAGCTGCTTCTCTCTCTCTCTCGTTCCCTTTGGGTACTTGTCAAGTACATGCTACTTGCTTTATTGCCGTTTGGAGTACTTCTGCTTCAAGTAGTTTGCCCCGCAGCCCCCTCGGCTCTGTGCACACACAATCTGAATTTCATTCTGTCTCTAAGACACCCATTTTCTCTCCCTTTCTTTGTCTCTAACTCTCGTTCTATACTCCCTTCCTGGGAAAGAGGGGTTGTTTCCACGGCACTGCTCTCCCCAACCCCTGCAGCCCTCAATCATCCATTCATTAACTCTTAAGTCAACACACAACCCCTGTGTGTGTGTGTGTGTGTGTGTGTGTGTGTGTGTGTGTGTGTGTGCGCTCGCACACGCACCCATGCACGTGTGCCTGCACTCCTCAGATGAATCAGTGTAGGAGCTCTTTCACAACCTTTGGACTTTTTATTTCTTTGAAGCACCATTCACACACACACACACACATGCTCTTATGGCCCAGAGAAGAAAGACCAAATGCTGCAATTAGACTTCTAAAATACACAGGTTGATACCAAGATGCATGCGCCCCCCCACAAAAACACACACACCCACACACACACACACACACACACACACATTTACTGCCGTGTATGCAAGGGGTGCTGTCAATCAAACCTGCTGGAGAAAAGAGGAGCTTTTTCCTCACAGCATGTTGTGCAACCGCTTGTGGAAGTTTCAAAAAAAGAGAGAAGGAAGGGCAAACGTGAAGCAAGAGAAAGAGTCACAGATGGAAAGTTGAGTAACACAAGGCTCAAGAGGAAAGAGAAATGTCCAAAAAGATACAAAGAGAGGAAGAACAACAAGAAGGATGGAGAGAAAGCAGGAGAAGAAAAAGACGATATGGTTTCATTCCATGAAAATGTGCTTTTCTGTTATTTTCCTCAAGCTGTTGAGCTGAAACTGTGCTTCTCACATCTACAGATCCTGTGCCATCATTGCCCTTCTGAATGACAAGCTGAAGTGATTCGGGACTGCTCTGAACTTTCCTCATTGTCTCTGCTGGTGATTGTTTTTCTTCTGCTTCATTCTTTACATCTGGTAAGCCTCAGGGCTCCGCTCCACTCGCCAGTCCCGTTCCCATCTCACTGCCATGCCAACGACGCTCCGCTCAATGAAACAATCCCAGCAAGATGCGAATAAAACGTGATTGTTGAGCAAGAACTAAATGTGCCACAACATCCTGGTCACTGGCCCTGAATTGTTAAAAACATTTCAGGAGTTCAGCTTGACTTATAGAATCCAAATATCATGGATAAAGTCCTGGTCAAAGAATTTAACTTTGAATTTGAACCTATGTAAATGAGTTGTACAGAAATATGTGGCTTATTGTAAGGAAATGACATCTGGTGGATGTAAATTGTACTACAACCATGGACACTATGCAGGGTGGTAACATCCTTCCTATTTAACCATTATCACATGTATAAACCTATAGAATCACATATGTGTGTTGTCCAGTCATTGTGAATCATACTAATATTAATTCTAAGTTAGCTTGTACGGTACATAACCACAAGTTTGCACCTTGGTTGAAGGGGGCAGCATGTCACCATAATTGATGTGTGTATAAATCAGATCTGCCTTTCTTCCCAAATGCAAAGGAAAACGAAGAGGGGAAGTAAAGAGGCAAGGAAGTCAATAAAGAGAAGACGTAATTATTAAAATGTGAATTAAAAAAATGTAGCCGATAGAAAAATGTGTGATGACCACTCTGATTACCTTAAATTGGCTTCAGGCAGTATTCTTGCCAATTGAAAAGCTTTATTTTGAATCAACGTAGCAGAGCCATTTAAAGCCTGTGAAATAAGAGAAATTCTGTCAGTATTTTGCCAAAAGACACTCTTTGCCTGGAAAAAGTGGGAAAGCACCCATTTTTAATGAAATAAACCTTAGTTGTTCTCTTGAAACATTTAAATATTAGGCTATTATCTGTCCATGTTTCATTTTCCAACACATTTATTGAGTAATTAATCAGCATTGATAAAATAAAAAGGCATTTTATATCTAGTACACGCTGCAGCTTAAGTGTTCAGACTCGTCTTCACAGCTAGTGTCCACTAGTGGGCAGTGTATACTAATGCAAAACTCGAATAGACTTGATTACGGATCATGCTTTCTTTATATTAAGCCCATTGTTTATTTGCACAGCACAATAAAGCCTACACTTCTTAATTCAGAGGTTCAGACAATAAAACCTATATTTATTCACTGACAAATACACTTGTATTCACTACTAATTGCATGGCAACAAATTGACATGTGTTGGTGTACTATAAGTCTATTAGCATCATTACAGTACATTGTTCCACTTTTACCATGAAGCGACTTCTCAACTATAGTGGCCTATAATTAAAAAAAAACAGTGGGGTCTGTTTTAAAAAACCTGTTGGTTGTTGTTCTTATTGCCCAAAGGAAATAAAAAATTCAAGGGATTTTTTTTTTTTTCGTATTGCGGACATTAAGGACTTAAAATGAAGCTATTATAATGTTATATTTCTTTATTACTGTATATATAACTTTTAAACATATACCAGAGTGCACAACAACATGCCAGCTGGTCTGACACATGTTTGATGCTCAGACCCTCCACCAAAATACAACCTCTAACTCACAGCTTTTTGGATGCTGCGCTTTTCCCGCCCACTACACTTATTAGCATGATAATGAGAGCTGTGGATGCGGGAGTAGAGGAGGGGTGGCGTTAAGACATGTTACTCTATTTGGAGTTGTGTCGATTGCAGATGAAGAAAGTTTTTTCTTGTGTTCTTGTACTTCCACCGCAGCTCGTTGGCAGGCTCCGTCCTCACAGAGAGCGCGCACCAGGATGGGTGCTCTCCCGGCGCGAGGGATATTCTGGATGTGTGTTTTGATGTTAAGTGGAATAACAGGAGTGTGCGGTGAGTTCTCATTTTGGGTTCTGCTGTTGTTGTTTTCATGTTGTTGTTTTTTGCACGTCTAGCCAAGAATATGTTGTAGAGGAAGACCCATGAGACAAGTTTTCAACTCTACTGAGACTCAACTTGTTTCTACCGGTACAGAATATGCATGTCCTAGTAACATCTCCACTTTAAGGTGTCAGGACTTTCTACATTTGAGGATTAATTTGGCTTGTTATGACACTGAGGGAATGGACAAAGACGCATCATATGTGTAGAATGAATTATTTGAACACCCGAAAACTTCTCAGATGGGTTTTATTGGACCAAAATGTTATTAAATGGAGGTTTAAGATTTCATTTTCTTCAACAAACTCTGTATGTTTGTCTTGTTCTCTCTGGCCTTCATGTTTTTACTGAGACATAAACCTAAACGTACTTTGCCACATCCAAAAGTCAACCTTTTTATAGAATTATTCACAACTAAGTACAACAGGTAACCCCCATATATGGCGAACATTATCATTGAAGAATTGCTGTACATTTTGGAAAACCTAACCCAGCTTTTGGTTACAGGTTCAATCGTCTGCACCTCCAGAGGGGCCAGCACATGCAAGCAATGTCTGGCTGTGCACCCCAGCTGTGCGTGGTGCTTCCAGGAGGTGGGTTTCTTTTTTCCACTTCATTTCTTTCAAGCAATGAGCCTTCTGCCAGCCGGGCTGGTGCAGGGTGGTACAGACCTCCTCATAGGCCACGTAATCTGGTTGAGAAGATTTTAACTGAGAACATCAAATAGGTTCAGGTGAAAACAAATGTCTCTTTAAAGTCAAATCTACCCTGTACAACTTTGGTTTATCTATAATCTGTTTGGGGTTTTTATTTGATTCCTGGCACATAAGACAAAATGACTGAACTTGTGTGACTGCATGTGGATATAGTCATATGTTCTGGTTTAAACTAATGAGTGCAATGATTTCATATCGGAAAACTTGGAGTCAACATACTCAACCTACTCAAAGTTTTCCCAAAGTGACTTCGGCCTGAGTATACTCTGGTTTATTGCTGAGACTTCTTTATATTCAGAATCACTGGCTGAACTATCAGACTGTGTTCAGATAGGATGGGCATTTTAATGTCATGTGGAATTTGCCTTTTAATCCAGAGTTTGTTGGAGAGATGTTGGAGTGCTTCTTCACTCCAGGAGATTTGTTTCATAGACACATATTGTTGGGCTTTTTCAGGACTGGCCCATTACAGTTTAAATTAATCCAATATGCCCATTTTCTCTTAACAGCTTCATTACAGATGAGAATTCCTTAAATAAATGACTATTTGATTCCATTCCTAACACATTAAAACGCTTCCAAAGCAACGAGCAGGTTGCTGAAAACGGCTTTTCTGTATAATATGTAAATGGCTCTTCTGCCAGGACTTTGGCCAGGGAGTTGCCAGTTCCTCCCGCTGTGATCTGAAGAGTAACCTAGTGGCAGCGGGCTGTGGAGCTCTGGAGTCTCCGACCAGCAAATTGCAGGTGATTGAGGACCGGCCCCTCAGCAAGAAGGCAGCGGGGGCCACGCAAGACGTCACCCAGATAAAGCCCCAGAAACTGCACATCACCCTCAGGCCAGGTAGGGTTTACCATCTTGTCAGTTTGTGGGTTTTGTGTCTGACATACTGAAGCAGAGATTTAGAAGGGAGTTACATACAGAATTTACAATAGAAGTTACAAGTAACATCACGCATATCTGTTTAAAAAATGGTGTTTCTGTATCCCACTTCCAAGATGATGCCAAGCGCTTCACAGTGAAGGTGCGTCAGGTGGAGGACTACCCTGTGGATCTCTACTACCTCATGGATCTCTCCTACTCTATGAACGATGATCTCTTCCGCCTGAGGACGCTGGGCAAAGGCCTGGCCGAGGCCATGAACCGCACCACCAGCAACCTCCGCATGGGCTTTGGGGCTTTTGTGGACAAGCCGATCTCGCCTTACATGTACATCTCCCCCAAAGAGGCTGTCAAGAACCCCTGCTACAGGTAAAAGACACGTTTTTCAAGAGCTTCATGTGTTATTAAACCAGCTTGGACAAAATAGCGGGCCTCCTTAACCTGTTTCCTTGTCTGTATATACTGTAAGTACCTAAACTGAATCCAGATCTCTTTGTAATGGAACGTTTATTTTAGTGGCTAACAATGTGTTACCTTCTTAATAGGTACCTACTGGTGCTGATTTCAGCGGTTGTTTATGCCTCCATGTGGGAGTAGCTTCATTATGCAGATGACGTCATTTTTGTTCGGACACCTTTAAACACCGCGTTGCAAACAGACTCAGAGTCAGCACTTGTTAAAGGCTTACAGTGGCTCCCTAGTGCTCGGTCAGCTCCTCTGAATCAACCGCGGGTGATCTGCTCCCCGGAGGTTGATTTGGTGGTTTACGGTCTCTTGGGGTCATTTACTCAAAGACTTTACACAGTCTGCTGAGCTCCAGCCTCCAGGAATGTTTGGATAAAAGATAAGACAAGTGGAGAATTAAATACAGAGAGAGAGGGGTCCACTTTTTGACCAAATGCACATTTTTGGGAAACCAACATCTGTTCAGAACAGAAACATTTACTGATGAACAGGAGAATTTACTTTAAAGTCTGTAGAGATGGCAACGTTGGTCTGCGGGTCAGTCCATAACTTTGGTCCAGACTGAAATAGCTTAACAACTATTTGGATGGATTGAAATTTTGTACAGACATTCATGGTCCCTAGGGGATAACCCTTAACAACTTTGGTGATCTTCTGACATTTCTTCTGGCGCTGTCATGAAGTCGACATTTGATGTTTTGAGTAAAATGTAAATATTGAATATCTGTGAGCTGTACTTTGAGTTAAGTGCTAATATGCTAATAATACGTAGAGCATCAAAGAGCTTCGAACATGGCTGCAGACTCTTAAGTCTTGTTCTTAAAGGTCATATCAGGAAGATTGACCAAGTGAAAAACTGTAAAATAAAGAGCTGTCATGTTAAGATGTCACCATGTAACTTACAAATATGACACAAAAAAATTCTACAAAATTAAATTGGAAAATTAAACTTATTTATGTAGCTTAAATTTAAATATTTATTTTTAAGCATATAAATCCAATTAACCTGATTGTTTGATTTAACAGCTGATCCCTCAACAAAGTATATTATCAGTAATTAGACAGCTCTTGATCCTTTGTAGAGGTCACATTTTTTACAATGGTATATATAAACAGACATTCAGATGAATGAACAAGCTGCCAGCAGCTCGGCTCAACCCTGATCGCTGGATCTCTGTTTCATTGACAGCATTAACACCACCTGCCTGCCTCAGTTTGGCTACAAACACGTTCTGTCCCTGACGGAGGAAGTGGGCCGCTTCACAGAGGAAGTGAAGAAGCAGATGGTGTCCAGGAACCGAGATGCCCCGGAGGGAGGCTTTGATGCCATCATCCAGGCTGCTGTGTGCAAGGTGGAGAGACTCACTCACTTTCTCACACACATAACTCTGATTTTGTTTTAAAAATTAAAAAATGTAATCCCTCATCCAAAAGTTGAATTAAATAGTTTGAGCTTCCTTCCTTTTGCTGTTTCGTTGCTTGATGGGAGCTAGGAGGAGATCGGCTGGCGTCCCGGTGCATCCCACCTTCTGATCTTCACCTCGGACGCTAAGACTCACGTGGCTCTGGATGGTCGTCTGGCTGGAATCGTGCAGCCCAACGACGGGCAGTGCCACCTCAACTCTGACAATATGTACAGCATGTCTACCACCATGGTTAGTGTGTACTGTAAGTGTGTGTTTGGTGCACAGACAGTATGATAGAGAATCAGAGCCAATGGGACCCTTTGTTTGAATAAGTAAAGGATTAAAAGGAACATTTCAGTGTTTATGTGTGCAAGAGCTAACCACACCGTCCGGGTTTGGCCCCACAGGATTACCCATCTTTAGCTCTGATCACAGAGAAGATGTCGGAGAACAACATCAATCTCATCTTTGCTGTCACCAACCCTGTGGTTCCTCTGTACCAGGTCAGAGCATGTCCAGCATTTTACTCATCAAAAATGTAAACTAAGCAAATGTTTTTAAACTGAAACTGAGAGGATGGCATCCCCCACTCGGTAATCATCTCATCTTGAACATACTGTAGTTTAAGTCCTCCAAACGTCACTGGTTTTAAACTGAGATTCTTGGATCCTGCATGAATGGAAACTCAAAATGAATCACTATAATACGCTGTTCAGACACGGCAAAGTTACAAACTCAGTTTTTCCCAAATTGGAAACACCATTACACCTAGTGAGAATTAGAGGAAATAAATTCATAAATATAGTCATTGTTCATAAAGGATAACAAATTCAAGAACTTTGGCTATGGCATGAGTTAGGGTGTGACACACTTTCTTTTAGGGCGTTTGCTTTCAACGGTAAATGTTTGGGACAACTCTCACAACTATCTCATACCATGAAACCAATGCAACCAGTGTGACATAATGGACGAGTAACTTCTGCACGCATCCCTGTTTGTACTTTCTGCCTGCTGTGCTTTTGAACTGGGCAACAAAGAAAAAACTGGGAAAAATGTTGACATTTTCCCACAAAGAGGCTTCTATCTACGTACGTATTTGTAACTGATGAAACATCAATTATTGTTAATGGTTTATTTCCCTGACTGTGTAGAATGGCAACAGTCTGACAGTCTGTTTGTCTTTCTGTCTTACAGAACTACAGTGAGCTGATTCCTGGCACCACAGTAGGAACACTGTCCAACGACTCGGGCAATGTTATCCAGCTCATACTGAAGGCCTACGCTGTAAGTCACACACACACACACACACACACACACACACACACACACACACACACACACACACTTTAGACTAGACAGTGTTTCATGCGATGACATGTGTTTGCTGACACAAACCCACAGTGTCTGAGTCATACATGTAGTCGGGCCAAAGTCTAAGAAGGTGTGAAGCTGACCAAATATGGGAGACTCCTGGCTGTGTTTCATTGTTTATGTTTTATTTGGGTTTATTATGCAAAGAATAAGTTTATTAATGAAAATGTATTTTAGGTTCAATCCTGGCTGTAACTTTGATGTGTGTACAGATGTACATACAAACACGTAAATGCACTTCTACCCAAATTAATGTATAGGCTTACTATGAGAGCAGGAGATTAAGTGATGTGCACACAGATGAGGAGAGAGAAATTATTTGAATTGGCTCGTTAAAAAGAAGTATTAAGACCTAACATTCGTTTATGGCCTCGAGACGCAAACCTATATACTCATCCTTCCATGTGTATGTGTTTCCCGCTGTTTTCCTTCATCGGTGTTGCCAGAAAATCCGTTCCAAGGTGGAGCTGGAGCTTCAAGGTGTCCCGGAGGAGCTGTCCCTGTCCTTCAACGCCACCTGTCTGAATGGAGAGCTCATCCCTGGCTTCAAATCCTGCTCAGGGCTCAAGATAGGAGACACGGTCAGTCCATGTCCCGTCACATTTTTTGGCGTGTAACTCCTTTAAAGTGAGGTAATGTGTACTTTAGACAAAATGGTTTGCACAATGAAATAAGTGTAATAATGGCATCCCCTTGAGCAGATGCAATGCTTGTTTTAAGAAAATTAGTTTTAAGGATGCAATAGACTGGATGGGTCTGCACAGTATGATAACGGTATTATCGATTCTCATACAAACTTTTTCACCCCCATCCAACATGTCCTATCTATAGTAGACATACTCATGTCTTGATTTCAAAAATAACATTAGTTAGTTCCATATACTATTTTTCACCTTCTTTATTTGCCTCTTTCCATTTCCCTTCTGGCTGAGATCGACACGTCTTTAAAGTAGGATTTTCCCTATTTCCTTATGATGTCAAAGCAGATGATGGAAAAAGTGTATCAGCATTGTCTCTGAGCTTGTCTTCCTTAAATTATTTTTCTTCTTTTGCCAACTCTGCCTAGAGAGTTCTCCTCGTTCCCTTTTTTGTTTTTTGCATTTCTTCTTTATCACAGCTTCTTTGGCTATAGTCCTTGTTCTCTCTTCACTCCAGGTGACGATTTTTTGGCCTCCACACATGTCTTTCTCTCTGCCTCAGCCCCTCTTATTTTTGCCATATATGGCTGTCTCTCCAGATGTAGTAACTGCCTACTTTTGGACATTTACCAGATTTGGATGCGGCGCTCTATGAACAATTACTTTGACGAAATACATATGGAGGCATTCCCTGTGTCAGGTCTTTGTGCTGTTTTCACCGACAATGATTAGACAATGCTCACAATTTGAGCGGCTATTAAATGAATAATAATTGAACCCTTAAAGTGCTGTTACATTGCATATAATCCACTATAAAGCATGATTGGTTTTACAAAACGTGGTTGCAGAATCTTGATGAAAAACCTAAAAAAAATAGACAGGGCTCTAAACATGTTTGAACCCAATACTTTTCTCACCCAAAATGTACTAAGTTACAACTCACTCCGTCCTCTCATCCAGGTCTCTTTCAGCGTGGAGGCCAGAGCTCGAGGTTGCCCTAAACAGAAGAAGAAAACCTTCATCATTAAGCCGGTGGGCTTCAAGGATTCCCTCTCCATCAACGTCAACTTTGAGTGCGACTGCAAGTGCCAGACCAAGGCCGAGCCCAATAGCCCCAAATGTAATCACGGCAACGGCACCTACGAGTGTGGCATCTGCCTCTGCGACCCGGGTCGCTTAGGGCCCCACTGCGAGTGTGCAGAAGGTGACTACAACCCCACGGAGCAGGACCGCTGCAGCGGACCCGCGGGCTCTGGAGGACCTCAGTCTGCCATCTGCAGCGGCCGTGGTGACTGTGTGTGCGGCCAGTGTGTGTGTCACAGCAGTGACTTTGGAAAAGTCTGGGGAAAGCTGTGTGAGTGTGATGACTTCAACTGCCTGCGCTACAAGGGGGAACTGTGCTCAGGTGAGATCTTATGAGCTTCTTTTATAATTAACTGGCCTGAGCATCTTAAGTGGAATGATAGGGCTGAAACAATAAGATGATTAGACAGGTGACAGAAACTGAATTGACAACTAGGGCTGTAACTAATAATCATTTTTCATCAATGATCAATTGGACGTTTTTGATTAATTCATTGTATTGTCTATAAAATGTAAAGAAAATTGTGAAAATTGCCATTACAATCAAGGGTCCAAGCTGACATGTTCAACCAACAGTCTAAAACTCAAAGATGTTTCTGCTTTTCTCTGTCTTCTATCATTGTATAGAACATGTTTGTGCTGTGGAATGTTGGTTGGACTGAAAAAGGAAATGCAAAACACAACTTTAAGAAGAAGCAATTTTTGATGGGAATTATCTGATCCAAAACGTGTCATGACATGTTCTTTTCAAAGGAAAAGTGCAACATTCTGGAAAATGTGCTTATTCATATTACGAGTTTGATAAAATAAGATTGATACAACTCTCCAATCGGACAGTCAAACAGGCTGGAGCCAGCGGCCGATTAGCTTAGCTTAGCATTATGACTGTAAACAGACTAAAGCCTATAACACCTCTAAAACACATTATATCTTGTTTATTTAATCCGCACAAAAAGAACCAATGTAAAAAAAATACACTTTTTTGATGGGAGGTTATATGCTGGACTATCGTTTTGACCAGGTGTGGTGACTTATTGGTGTCTCCCCATTAAATTAAGCTAAGCTAAGTAAGCTAACCTGCTCCTTGGTGTATATTCATACAGCTCTTTTGCAAGAAAGCCAATAAGCGTATTTCCCAAAATGTTAAACTATTCCTTTAACAGTATTTTTACATCGCACACGACGCAATCTGGGTACAAATGTGGCGGAGGTTAAAATGGTCCACTGACATTCATGAACATTGTGTGTCTCTGTAGTGGAGTTTCAGAGAATGTGTGCACCTCGGGGTAGGCAGTCACTCTTCACCACACTGACTTGCCACCCACCTCATCTAGTAAGAATTACATACAATAACAACTCTCCCCTCTGCCCGGGACATGCGCTCCATTCACAATAAACACATGGTGTGGTGTGTGCACCGTGTGTGAGTGTAAGCTCAGGTTGTATGTTTGTGTCAGCCAGGCAGAGCTTTAGTGTGCGTTTGACTGGATTCATGCACAAAAGAAATATTTTTTAAGTTTAACGGTAGCTCTCTCCGGTCAGAGGGGTCTCTCACTATTCTGAAAGTTTCTCTGTCGCGGTTGAGCTTTTTCAAACAGTGGGACTCAGTTTGTGTTTGGTAATTGTTAAGAGCTTTAACTCATGGCCTCATGACCCTCCTTGCATTTTAAAAGACACTGTATATCATCAAGTCATAACACATAATGTTACCCTGAGGATAAATATACTTATTCACTTTCATATAGGGAGTTAGATAAGAAGATCCACTCACCTGTCATAAGAGTGGTATCAATCTTCTTATCTCTGTACATATTTTTCATTTAAAGGTCAGTAATATTCTCTTATCTGTACAGTAAATATGAATAGCTATTGTTCGCTGCCGGTTAGCTGTTTCCCCGTTTAGCGTCTTTATGATAAGATAAGCTAACTGGCTGCTTTCTTGCAGGTCGCTTCATCTTTAAACCCGGTATCGGTCTTCTCATCTTACTCTCAAAAAGGAACAGAATAAGTGTACTTCTCTAAATGTCAAACTACTATTGTAAAGATGGCAGGATTTGAGTGTCGGAGGAAGACGGGAGACACAAAGAACAGCAAGAAAAGGACAAAAGGAATTGGGATCAGGCAGTCAAAATGAACAGGCCTCTCTCTCATTGAGGCAATGACTCTTATTGATATGTAAAATACATGAGCTGGCATTGATATATTACTCAGGGGATATTTGATATTTGTTAATTGCAGAAGTGTTGGCCCATACTGCCTTGATTCATCACATCATCAGATCTCATATGTCACTCAAACCTCCCCCCCTCTGCTGCTCTCACACAGAAATGCTTTTTTGTATTCCCCAAAGCCCCTGGATTAACATGAAAATACCTTTCTGCTTACTCATTGGTGGTGGTGTAATAGGGCTAAAAATAAACCCATGTTTGGTCAGAAAAGGGCCAAGTGAGAGAGAACTGGAAACGTTCTGTGTGTAAAACATGGTCTGCTTTTGTCATGAAATACTGTTTTTCAGTGCGAGGACCACGGTCCGTGTTCTTCCCCCACAGAATGGTCTAATTAAAAGCCAGCGGTCCTGTGGTCAAGTGGTGATGGCAGTTTGCTCATGGATCGTCCTTTATTCAGTCAGACTGTTCCAAGTGGCTTCTTGTCTCATTGCTTATCTGCGCTTTGTTTTGCAGTGATAGGCCACAATGTTTTCTGCGTTGTCACTCTCTTGCATGCACACATCACACATACAAGGAAAAACAACAAACCAATGCACACAAATACACTCACACACACTGAATCATGCATCCAAATGCCTCCCAGACACCACAGACACACAATGAAATGGGTTTTAGGACTCTAACAGCTGTAGAAACATGACTTATCGCTTCTGCTTTCCAGTGGTTGGAATCAAAATTCAAGAGGACTAGAATTATAGAGCTACGAAATGTCTTAGCGGGACATATGACTAATTTTGTAATTGAAAAAAATTGGTTGTTGAATTAAAGGTTTAAAGGCAAAGCAAAGCTAGATATTGCTCAAGATAGAGAGGAACCATGTCATTTCTCAAATAAAGTTAAAACAGGTCATTGCAACAGGAAAATACAGATACGTATGACACAGGCTTGTGGTATATTCACTCATAAGCCTTTAACAAGTCACGGCCAGGCATTGCAAACTCATAATGACCAGCCAATTATTGTTCAAACCCACAACACTTCTAGTGGAGTTCCCAAAATTCCCCTGTGTGTCAGGCTGAATTTTAGAGAAATATGTATCAAATAGTGCATACATTTCTATTTAATGGAATAACGAAGCCATAGACACATGAAACTCATATTAGCCGATCAAACGTAGGTTGTTTAGAACAAATCATGCACAACAACTGAAATTACAATCATGTCAAGCCCCAAGCACTCCAGCCCTTTTCCTCCCTCTTTCCCAACTCCAACCACACCCTGGTTTTCACACAGAATTTCACTTGGTCACATTATCCTCTTCTCCTTCATTGTTTATTTACTTCCTATTTCGCTGTTTTACTTCATATGCCACCCTTTGCTGTGTGGAAATGGAAATCAAACCAGTAAACAATGTTACAGTAGCTTTTCTATCCTTTCCTCCCTCCTAGGCCACGGTGTCTGTAACTGTGGCTTTTGCCAGTGTGACCCAGACTGGCAGGGTGAGAACTGCAACTGCTCCAGACGCACTGACACCTGCATGTCCAACCTGGGCTTGTTGTGCAGCGGTAGGGGCCAGTGTGTGTGCGGGGCCTGTGAGTGCACCCAGCCCGGGGCCTACGGAGCCACATGTGACAAGTGCCCCACCTGCCAGGACGCCTGCACCATGAAGAAGTGAGTCTGAACACATAGTTATAACGTTCGGTGTCTAGAAAGCTGTTTGGAATGAGCTGATGGACTGATGTATATGTTTCTTCTAAAAGGGAGTGTGTGGAGTGTAAACACTTCAAGAGGGGCAAGCTGTTTGACGACAACACCTGCTCTCGAATCTGCAAGGATGAGATTGTGCTTGTGGATGAAATAGGTGAGAAAAACAACACACTTAATGTTGCTAAAAATGCCTTTTGATTGATTATGTCAATGAAAAATGTTCCAAAGTGAGCTTATAAAGTTTAAGTTTCTTTGTAGACAAAACTCAGATTACACCTTTCAAATACAACCAAAAACATCTGTGTTACGCTGCTTTTGAAGATTTTGTCATGACTAATATTACATTTTTCATTCAGTGCTCCATGATACAAATGCTGTGAACTGCACTTACAAAGATGAGGATGATTGCGTGGAGCATTTCCAGTATTATGAGGACGCCAATGGCAAGTCCATCTTGTTTGTCGTCAAAGAGCCCGGTAAGAGAGGACCTCACCTAACAAGCACCTATTTTAAGCGCTAATCAATATTTTTGCTTTTATAATTTATAATTTTTCATAACCAAATGGCATACAGACAAAGTTGCAACTAGCTGGTGAGCTCAGTGGATCATTTAGCAGCTGCAGTGAGGAGACAAATATTTGCCCTCAGGAGATGTTGAGGACCAAACCCAGAGCTTTTTGCCTGGTGACGAACACCACTCCAAAAGAATGCTAATGCGGCTCAGTGTCTGCTGGATGTGTAATTGGGCAATTGTTTGTTAGCTGTAACAATTTTATGCAAAGCTTATTTGTCGATGTTGTGTTTACAGGTTGTTCCACTGCCCCGTGGCCAAAAATAATCTATCAATACTGCTCCGAGGACAGTAACTTATTAATACGGTTGAGTTTATATGTGGAAATAGATGAAGGTAGTCACAATGACATAGACAGTAAATCCCAGTGCTGGACAGGTAAAATCTACAACCACAAATGCAACACCAGCCAAACAAGCAAACTTCCTTGCTTTGTGGAATCAGTGTTTCAAGTTGTCACTTCCCCGCTGCCTGCCCTTCATCTGCTTGTTAAGTGGCCAAATAGAAAGAGCGTGGGGCGGTAAAACAGCCTTTAATGGCCACCAGTGCCCGCAGAGAAAGTCTGCCCCTGGGTCTGCCTTTAATGAATGTGTGTGTTTAATTTAGGCGCAACTGGATAGCAGAGAAGTACACCAAAATTTGCCTTGAACACAGTGCACCCCGCTGTGTCAAAGAGGGTCGTAAACAGCTGCCCAGCTCCTCTTGGAAGCCGCTGACTCTACATATCCTCCAGAGGAAATCATGAGAGGGAGAGAGAGGAGACTAAGGAAGCAAAAGAAACGGATAAAGAACATTCTTAAAAGGAAACATGAAGTTGTGTAACAAAGGAGAAGAAGAAGAGAAAAGGGGAAGATGGGAAACAGACACCCTTCAAAGTTGAATAAGCCTTTTTTTAAATTTAGAAGTTATTAATAATGTTGAAGAAATAATATTGTAGCACCAATCTGACTTGATTTACATATGTAAATAATGTTGGCGGCTTTAGGGATCAAAAGGGTCAGTTGAAGAGCAGGAAATAGAGGAATGAGGAGTAAAGCTTTGATGTCAGCTGTAAAAGTTCACCTTGGTTGCCCCACTAGTTACCCAACACTATTATGCACATACGTGTGTACTACAGGGATCACACACACAGATGTGCTTAGATATTCAGACAAACATGCAGTCTGGCAAACAAACAAGTATGCTTACATTTTGACCAGATGTAACTGGTGACTAGAAGTAAAAAGACATTTTTTTAAACAATGAAGAAACTGAATTGCTTTCATGTGAACACAAATATTTATTAATAACTGTGCAACATTCAAAATGAAAGCAGCTATAATTAATATTTCGATATTGACAATGGATCAAAAGACTATTTGTATGTGAAAAAGAATTATCACAGAGTTTAATTGCAACTGTCAGCACGTTGTTTGGGTTTCCCGACCCACAACTTAAAGTCCCAGTGAAATGGAAGCTGGAGCGTCTTTAGCCTCGGTATTGTGACATATTCCACAATGAAGGGGAATATTTCAGCAGTTACAAGAAGGATTTGAATCAAATCCTTTGCATTTGATTGGACTACTAAAATGTTGGTGTATAGTGCGATACGGAGCTGCAAAGCTGCCGTGTGGCTCCACACACACCTCCCCTGGCGCTAAAAGTTGCAGATTGATGATTTTATTGGTTGAAACTGGTTGGTAGCAGCTTACACTTCATATTTTGTTTCACAGGAAGAAAAGATGATTGGATTTAGGTGGTTTTTTTCGGCATATATTGGAGCACAATATGACCGAGGGCATTTCTCTTTTCATCTCATCGGGTGCCCAGATAGAAGACTCCAAATGAATCCAAACGGCAACTTGTTGCTAACAAGTTTTAGATATCAATTTATATGCCAGCTTGGTTCTGCTGCCCCCAAGTGGCCAAAGTAATTACAGTCCAGACATTTTTAAGTTTAGAAAAAAAATGTATAAAGATCTTAATGCTCTGCTAATCTGGTTCATCAGGACTGTGTGGGTGTGGTTTGATCCAAATTGATTGACACTGGACTCACAACATCAGCAAACATATTTTGACCTAACTTCTAATAAGTGAACAAAAATGTGGGACAACTGAGTCCTGCCCACTTCAAACCAGTAAGAAGAGCACAGACAAAACATCTGAAATAATCCAAATCACTGATAATACGATGCTGACTGAGAAAATACGTTTTCAGGGCCTTTAAAAGACATATTGTAATTATGATCTTCATTCTCCTATAGCCTCACAAATCCAGCTTTAATGTCCCCATCCAAGTTTTTGCAACATGGTTAAAGTTTAAAAAACATCCCTCGAAAATTAATTAAACCTGGAAACTAGGGGCCAAACCAATCAGAGTAACTAATGAGAGTGTTTAGATGATGATGTGGCTTGTTTCCTCTTAAAAAAATCAATTTAAACTAGATGTTGGAGACATAAAACGAAAAAGGATTCAGCAGTGCATCGCCCATTACTCCACTAGGTTTATTCAGAAAAATGTTGGGTGATTAATGGGAGAAAGTTTTCCCGGAACAGCTAATGATGGGAAAAATGACGAAGGAGGGCACAACAATTAATGTCTCATTTCAGTCTGGTGTAGGAAGACTTCATGCTGTCAGTCAGCTATTGTACCGCCTTCTTGAAACTGCAAATCAAACTCCTATTGAGTTTTGCCAGACCACAACGAGGGACGGGAGATTTGTGGCCTGGCTGTGTGAGGTTGCTATTTTCCACTTCAGCCCATCCTCTTCTATGCTCTTTGGTATTTAAAATCCCCATTGCCTCCATCACCACTGTTTTGCTTCCCCTATTCTCTGGCTTCACTTGCAGATCTGATAACCTTAAGAAAGCCTGTTATTTGTGCTAGAGGAAACCACATCTCCGGCTTTTATTCCATACACCTACCAGCTTGACATGTGGCAATATGTCAATATGTCTAGTCTCAGAAATTCAAAAGCAAACCTTTGAATCTGAAAATGAATGGCATTCAGAGGAGTAATCCTCTGAAAATCTAATCCATGTGGAAACAGGAAGGAAACAGCCTTATGAAATCAGACTTCTGCCTGTCTCCTGGCTTATCTGCACTTTACTCATTCATTTATCTCTTCTTTCTTCCAACCAGACTGCCCCAAGGGTCCAGACATTTTAGTTTTGCTCCTGTCGGTGGCAGGAGCCATCTTGTTTCTTGGCTTGGCGGCTCTGCTTATCTGGAAACTTCTGGTCACCATCCACGACAGACGGGAGTTCGCCAAATTTGAGGAAGAACGGGCTCGTGCCAAGTGGGACACGGTCAGTGAATTTAGCATGAGGCTAGTAAATGCTCTGATGTGCTTTTTGCTTAACACTAATAGAAATCAAGGTCCAGTCTATGTTCATTTCAAGTTAAATTTAAAAATATTGCACTGGGATTTTGAGTTTGAGGCAAAAAAAAAAACCCTCCTTGGACTCATTTATAAAACATGGCATGGCATCTTCATATACACTCACACACACACACACACAATCATCTATTTTTCCTCACACGCGCACACACTGACACACAAAAGGCCACACACAGTCTCTCACGCTAGTTTTCTGGAGATGCTTTTTTTTATTATTTTGTGGCATGCTGTTTCTCCCAGCAGAACAAAAGACTGCCAGCGGAAGGGCTGGTTTTAACTTAGCTAACGCTAATAAGCCTTTACCGGTAACAGGCCTCTTTGTGGCCTCAAAAACACCCAAAACCCCTAGACCTGAAACCAAAGAAGCACAGGATTTTTAAGATGCTCACTGAGTAGCGGAATTTAAATCTTAAATCACACATTCACATTTTTATGTGTCTAGAATGGTGGCATGTTTCGGAGTTGCTATTTTTTAATTTTCTTTTCTTTTATGCAATTCCCTAAAGGGACCTTTGAAGTGACTTTTTTGGATTTTCCTAGAATCCCGAACCACAACAAGAAAAGCATCTCTAATACATTTTGTGTCCGTGAACTCACCTTAACTTACTGTATGTTTCTTTATGTGTATTTTACTAACAGGGACACAATCCTCTCTACAAAGGAGCCACATCTACCTTCACAAACATCACATACAGAGGAAAAGACTGATGCTACTGAACTGAACGAGGATGGAGAATAGTAGACTTTTACTGTCCTTTTTGGGAAGGCACCGAATCATGTGCAGGCCTCTACTGTCACAAGACAATAATTAATAATTATTTGTGTTTGTAAATATGTAGAAATGATTCTGAGGACACGTTTTATCAGGGATTTGTCATAAACACCCATTTATACTACACTGATAAATAAGATTTTGTTTTGATTTTGTGTGGTTGACAAATAACTCTTGTGTTGTGCAGGTTTACCCAAATCACACACAAAATATATTTTCATATTTACATATGTACCCCTACCAGCCATGTATATAGTATTATTTTATTTGCCCATATAATTAGATATATATGGAGCCCCCAAAGTCCGGAAAGAATTTTTTTAAATTCTGGATATCCCCCGGACATTGCTGTGGGCAGTTTTATTTTTTATTTTTTGTTAACTTTAACTATTGGCAGCAAAATCTGTAGATCACTCTGAATAACTGGTCCGGAGAAACCACAGCTATCCACATGACCGGATACCACTGAGGCTTAGTGGGAAAATATATTTAAAAAAGTGATGTGGGTGAACTAATCCTTGAAGTCAGTGGAAGAACAAAAGGGCAGATAATGTTACGCAAAACAATCTTCATTTCCTGATCACAATGGAAACGGAATGTCCTGTTTGTGGTACTCAGTGGAAACATAAGATGTCTTTAATTCAGTCAAGTGCCTTGCGGTTTGGAGTAAACTGTTAATTTACTGAAATAAGTGCAGTTTCTTGTGTGGACTCTGAGAAATGAGTGTTTTCTCCCATGTGTTGCCAAAAATGCAAATATGTCATGTTCAAGTTCTTATGAGGTGAACTTTACAAGCACATCAGGTGTCCAGTTTTGAGATGTGAAAGACAATAGCATGGCTAAAGCATATTGAAACATATTAGATTTAAGGACAAAATTTTCTGATTTATAACCAAATTCAATTATTTGAAATTACACATTCCATTACAGGAATTTAGAGACAAATCTAGATCATGATCACTTGCTTAAAATGATTATAGTTAGATCTGTGACTAATAAATTATTGTATTGCTTCACCCCACGACTCACCTGTACTTTTTGTCTGCAATGCTCTGCTTCCATCTCCTGGGCTTTAAATGCAAGTAAAGCTGGCTACTGGTCGTTGTGCAAAGAGAAGATCATCTGCAGTATAAAACATGCAGATCTCAGATGAAATATATCGCATAGGCTACATGGACCAAAGTGGGCTATTTGCAGATTAATTTAATCTATGGGATCCAAGCAGTGCAGACAAAAAGCACACTGACAGTAATGAGGTTGTGCAGAAACCCAGAGACCAGCCAGTATTCCTATACTACCTAGTGGCATGGATGAAACAATTTAGGAAAATGCACTATCTATGCAAAATGTAAGATAGATGGAGTAGGCCTATTATATTCATCCAAATGGGAAATGGCAAAACAAGTACAAAATAATTATGCAACCTTCTTCTACAAGAGTATGTAGCTTAATAATGCTGGACCTAGTTGATAGTGTAGTATACTTTTGTGGTGAAAATTCCAAAACAAATCTGTCAAATCACCACAAATGAGCCTGGAACTCTTTGGGGTCCCTGGGGCCCCGGACAGTTGCCTGTTGGATTACCAGCCTTGCCTATCGTATGCTAGGTTCTGACCTGAACAGTTTACATTATCTGTTAAACAAACGCATGGGAATCATATAAAGCTCTCCCTGGAGCCCTGTGCGGTCTTGCAGCAGGGGTTAATGATCTTTAATTAAAGAATGGACTCTATTATGGTGGCGGAACTTCTCCTCCCGGTGTAAACGTTACATCGCTCTTAAATGATATTAGGAAAAACCGGGTGAAGCCGAAATGTGACAACACTTGCTGCGAGGCTTCAGAGCGTTGACAGCTCCAGGTTTGCCCGTGGAAGGGCAACAAAACGGACAAGGAAACCCCGAGGATCAGGGCCTCCTGTCCGGATGACACTGGCAGGACCCAGCAGCCACACTACTCTCCTTAGCTAGCATTAGCTAAGCTAACAAATGTATTCCCTTGATTCGAAATAACTGCCACGCTAAATGGATAACTTAATTTTGACAACTTTATTTGAGATGTGTGGGAGTTGTTGAGGAGTTTTCTGTCACCGGATGGACGGACAACATCCTCTGTAGGACTGCGAGTGATTGTGAAAACTGCGTGAGGTGCTCCAGGTGCTCCAGGTGAGACTTCTATCGCAGTTAACGTTAGCTTGCTAGTCTAGGTAACCTACCACGTAGCCTTAGCTAGCTGTCATTTAATGCTAGTAACCACTATTATCCTATCCTCGAACAATTGTTTCTTCTACTGTTAAGTGGTTCACAGTAACTTGACAATGTATGGAAGCGTTTCGCTTTTTTTCTTCTTAAAAGGTTCGCCGGATTTTGATCGGCATTATAGCATTCAATGTTAACCAGCTAACGTTAGGTTAGTTAGCGTTAGCCGAGTTAGTCAGCATACTGTCAGTAACAGTAACGAGTTTTCCGTCATCTGTCATGCTGTCAGTTCAGCTGAAACATCAGTTAACTTAAATAAAGTTGAGCCTATGGCTTTGTCATGGAAGTTTATATGAAGCAACACATTTTCTCTAGTTGTCAGACTAATTACCATTTTTTTTTTAAATTTATTATTTAGTTATTGTCGTTTATGTGTCTTCAGATAAAAGTCTCTCAGATTTAAATTAGCAACGTAATGGTGACAGAGGGGAATTATCTCCCTCACCAGTAATGTCCAGAACCAGTGGCTCTCCTCACTCATTCAGTGAATCTATGGTTTGTCATTTTGAATATCCAATATGCATTATATGACAGGTGCACCTGCATCCCAACATGCTGGAAAGAATAGACATTAATGTCCACCATAAACCAGAATCTGTTATCGAATCTTATTAAAGAAAACTTCAACTATAACATTTATTAAATTCTGCTTGATTTCAATGTATTATTTAAAATAAACCTTTCCTGTCAGCTTTCTTACACAGAATGAAATTATGATTTTTTTTTTTGTGCTACTCCCTCTTCTCTTGTGTGACAGTAACCCAACCCAGTTAGTCCAATACATTACATTTGCATTCATTATTTGTGTCTCTCTTTCAAGGCATGATGGAAGGACTTCACAGCCAGGCTTTAGGTCTGGACCCACGCAGGCAGGAACTGCTTGAGGCTCGCTTCACTGGAGTTGGTGTGGCAAAGGTTAGCATCCCTTTAGAGCATAATAGCTGTATGGATTGTTTGTGCAGATGTTACACTTCAGTTGCAATGTATCAGGAGTTGCCTTGAATGTATTTTGTTGTTGAGAAATTTAAACAAGGGTTCCTTGTTGTCCCTGCAGAATTACATTTTGAGATAGAAAAAGAGTAGCTCCCAGTTTTCCTTCAAGCAAACATCCCTCAACCCCACTATACATGTGTGTGGATGCAAACATGAGCAGCCGGTCAGCTCTGTTATGTTAGCTCTGGAAGTCATCTCTATTTCCAGTCTTGATTGATGCTCTGTGTTCAAGAGTTTCCCTCGGTGGAATGATCTTGTCTCCTGAGCAAAAGCTAAAACAAGACGAGCTCTGTCTTGGCTGACATGGGAGCTGGCCAGCAGCTCCTTGTTTCAGTGGAGACCAGTGACACTGAAATGGCAGCGCAGCTAAAGCTCCCAGCGTAGGCTGCGTGCTATGCTGCAACCCTGCTGTTGAACTGGGTATTACTGTGTGTGGGTGTGCGTTTGACAAAATGGCAACCCCTGAGAAAAGCACTCGCTATCATTCCTGCTCCGGCTTACAGTGTGAAATGAATTGTTCGGCCTGCTCGCTGTGGTATTACGAGTGTGAATGATTTAAGGCTGCTAGTATGATGACTACAGTAAATGTTCAAGACATTACAATGAAAATGTGTAGTGTACAGTATATTATAGGAGAAAAACTTTGAACATTTCTTGCTGTATTTGTGACCTTGAGCAGCAGAATGACAGCTGGCCTTTTAAAAGCATTATCTTCCTGCACCAATTAGCCTGCTGTTTGTTATTCGTCTCTTCAGGCTGTGCAGCTGGCCTTTAGTGGGATGATGACACCAACTCATTTTACCAAGAGGATGTGAATACAGGATTAGTAGATTCAAAATGTGATGCATGTGTATTATACGCTCGTAGCTGAGCGTCTTCGCTATAAGTGTTCGATGCATGTGCTGAAATTCCGACAAAAATAAGATGCAAGGAGTGGAAAAATAACGGAAGTAACTTGTATCACAATTGTAAACTCCATCCCTCTTTGGTGTACATGAGTACTTCATCCACATTTTTGTATAGAACAGCATTTTCCATTATGCTCGATATTGTCATGTAAATAGCTTATATGTCTAATTTCTACTCACAAGGATCTACGTACCAGAGTAGCGCATGACTAATCAAGCAGGTCTAATGTGTGTGTGTGTG